TAAAAAAGATGGGATATTTTTATACAGTGGAGCATTACTCAGCCATAAAGAAAGATAAACTGGAGACTTTTATAGGTAAATAGATGCAACTTAATACTTACAAGTGAAATAAATCAGACACATGTAAATATCACATTATCTCACTAGTGTAAGATACTAAAAGAAAAACATGTATGTGTATAAAAAAGATAGTTACACTACTTATTTCTCTGTGTTCATGAAGAGAAAGATTTGTACTGATATTGTTTGGACAATCGAATGCAGATATCTTCGCTCTGGGTAAATGATTTGGGGGTGACAGTGTGCAGGATATGTACCATTGTTGCCCCCTGATTGATGTGTTTTGAATTTTTTTTCTCTTTGCAATAAAATGGATTTTGGGGATGTCTTAGTTGCTTTTTACTCGTTGCTGAGACAAAATACCTGAAGCCCAAAGTTGGGAAAGGAAAGGTTTATTTCTTACAGTTTTTGGAGGTTTCATTCCACACTCAGTTGGCTCCAACACAGGCGGGCATGGCTGGACTGCCGTTCATGGCAGCTGCAAACGGCAAGCTCGAACCAGCAAAGAGAAAGACACACCTTCTTCCTGCCATTACATCACATCCTGGCTCCACCCCTATGTGGGTGGAGCACTGACACCATCAATCAAGCACTATACAATGAACCATCACAAATTAACACTGCAAACTCATGAGGCCTGAGGGACACAAACATAAACCATGACGGGAGAAAAAAATGTTGTGGTGCATTTATAGTACATAAATGTCAGTTTTATAAAAATTGAGGAATGTTGGACCAAGAAAAACAAAAACTCAAGAAAGGATCTGGACTTGTTGGCACATGCCTATAATTGCAACACTCAGAAGGATAAGGCAAGAAGATCATCAGAAGTTTGAAGCCAACCTGGTTTACATAATGAGGATCTATCTCAAAATACAACAAAAAAATAGGAAGTTACTATAACAGTGATGGCATAAAGGCATGTCATAGCTATCATTTGAGCATCTGCTGAACTTGTCAAATTGTATACAACTTGAATAGCTCTCCCATACCATGAAGTGCATTCATATCACACAGTTTTTAACAAAAATAGCATATTATATTGCAGTTATATTGCTTTTGTAACTGTTGATTTTTGGGTTATTCCATGTGAAGTTACATGAATACATTGTTAATAGTATACTCATTTTCCCACAGGAAAGGTAAATATTGACTTGAATATCTTCACGTCTAGTTATCAGCAGATTCAGAATTGACACTAGTGTTCTATATTATAATTATGCGTCCTTATTTTAAGATTGTTCTTTTTTATCACTTGTATCTTTTGAAAAATGATCTGTGAATAGTATTCTTGAGGCTGATTTTGTCTTGTGTAAGCTTTCAGTTGGTTGCAGCATACAGTTCAGTGTTCTGTTGTTGAACTGCTCCAGTTGTATCTGTGGGAGTCAACTCCGGTGTCTCCCCTTGAATGCAGAACAATTGCTGCAGCTTTGATTATATGGAGGCTTATTTCCTTACACTGGTATGTACAGAGCTGGCTATGGTATTTCCTTCTCTCCTCAATTGGCTCTAAGCATTGCAAATAAGGCTAGCTGAGGTGCTGATACGTAATCTCTAAAGCCATGAGAAGGTCTCCTGTTTCCTCCAATAGTGCTCTCTGTAAGATATGAGCACAGGAGGATGGTAGAGCCATCAGCTCCAGGAATATCAACTGGGTATGAGCTTCAAAGTAAAAAGGCTATGATTCCCAGAGCACAAAAGTTTATATATCAGAAACCAAAGCAACAACCTCCTAAAACAATTCAGTTGCTACCTTAATTGAATTATGCAAATTGATCTTTCTATTTATCCTTCTCTCTGCAATTTGCAGAGATACTTTTCTCCCTACCTGGCTAGCCAGCTCAAGTTACTCACATAATTCCCGCCATCGCCATCTTCACTATCACTCATCCCTGAACCACCCCCCTTCTTCACCAGATAATAAATTCACCAGAGAGGCCGAGAATCAGAGCCTTTTCCCCCATATCTTCACTGGGATTGGATTTAGGACCCCTTTGCTGCCCTTGACTTGTAATATGTCTTGGCGCCTTTACTCTCATCATGGGTTGCATTGGAGGTGGTAGATTAGAATTAATTTGTTGGGATTCCAATAACATCTCAATGGCAATACAAATATAACTCTTGGATTGTGAGGAAAACTAGAAAAAGGTTTACAATATTTCTATGCCTGTATATAGTATTTGGGATTATAATAGTATCCTGCCAAGTGCTGAATGTTAAAAGACATCTCACTGTTAAGTGCTCCTCAGGCCTTTGGTGCTCTTCCTTCTAAGGCAAGTGGTTTACTCTAGGTCATTACACATTATTTTTATACATGTCTATGCTTTATATGGAGTACAAGACAATTGTCAGTTCTTTCCTTCCCTTCTCTCCCACTCCCTTTAGAAAGCTGGAACCCAGATAAAAAGAGCTGGAAACATACTGAATGTTCTCTGAAGGTGGCTGAGAAAACACTGTCAGGGAGAAAAAGTTAAGTGCAACATCTCATTAGTGCACTAATCAGACAGGATTACAAAAGAAAATGTCCTGAATAAAGAGAACATAAGAGGTGACAGCATTGCCCACGTTGTTCTCAGAATATTGCCCATTTTTGTAATGTGATTTGTGACTTAGCAACTTGGCTTCCTTGACTTCCTTTATTCATTATATTCCTTTCCAAAATTGTGGACATTGAAAACTAAAGTGTAAAGGTAATATTTGGTAATATTTTTCTCATTAGAAAGGGTTCTGTGAATGTGCAAAGATATACGCAGTTGTTAGTATCATGAATGAGCATTCTGATGGTCTATCTTTATATCTGTGTCTCTCAGAAAACAATCTTTGACTTAACATTCATGTTTCAATCTTCGCTATGAATTTCCTTGCATTATCAATTGAATTCAGCAATTATTGGAGATTCAATATGTGGTACTTTAATGGAAAATTTAAAATTTTTGAGAAGAATATAGTTCAATTTAAAGCTGACCTATTGTCAACCAAATATTTTAGAAATCCTCTTCAGGGGGCTGGGGATTTAGCTCAGTGGCATAAGCACCTGCCTTGCAAGCAGGCGGTCATGAGTTTAATCCCTGGTACTGATTTAAAAAAAAAAAAAAAAAAAAAAGAAGTCCTCTTCAGGGAAAAAACTACTAATTTTTTTAATAGTCTTAGTGGGATGGCACACACCTGTAATTCACATGCTTGGGAGGCTGAGGCAGGAAAATTTCTGGTTTGAGGCCATCCTGTGCCATTTAGCAAGTTTGAGGCCAGCTTTTTACCCAGGCTGCCCTTAAACTCCTGGGCTCAAGCAATCCTCCTGCTTTTGCCCACTGAGTAGCTAGGACTATAGGTGGCAGTAGCTACCATCCATTTCAGGGAAAAATAACTTCTTAAAGATACATATCTATTAGCTTTAAAAAAAAAATAGTAATTAGTATTGTGTTTGATTCCTGATACAAAAAGAAATAAAGAAAAAGATGTTGTCTTGGTTACATCAACCAAAACTTAATTTTAATCTAATTTCTCTCTGGAATTTTGTTGTCTTTTTTTTTTTTAAATGCAGGGTCTCATTATGCAGGTTGTCCTTGAACAGGACAGGTTAGGCTGGTCTGAAACTCAGCTATCCTCTGTCTGAGTGTCCCTAGTGCTGGGATTATAAGTGTGTGCCACCACAACTGACTTACTGCTTTTTAATATTATCACACAGCTGCTTATTATGAATTAGCCTTATGGGTAAAGTAGCCTGTATATAGTTTAGAATTAGCACTACTTTTTATCTTTTTTTTTTTAACAATATATGTCATAGGTGACATTTAAATGTGTGATGTTACAGATTCTGACTTCATTTTTTTCCTTGGTGTAGTTAGTATATATACTTAGTACTTCATCATAGTATTTTATGTACAACTGATTATGATTTTTTTCAAATCCTTTTATTTCGAGAAAAAGGTAAAACAAAATTTCAAAACAACAATCAGGGGTCAACAATGGTATATACATTGAGTATTGCCATCCCCAAATTATGATTCTGTTTCTGGGTCATGCAATTGAAGCCTTCTGTAGTTTTGTTTCCTTGAAACCTGTTGGTTTAGGTAGTTCTTATATTAGCTCTTGTTCTCTGTAAATTTCACTCATTTGTAAGAAGTCCAGAACGAATGCATTTGAGGTAAGCCAAATTTGTAACTTGGATTCTTCCTTTCTCAAAACCATTACTTTCAGCTCACAATACACATTGTCCTTTTTCCTTTATTCCAGTTGTTAGAGTTAACAGCAATCCACACTGGACACCTTCTGAGTAGAGAAATTTAGTCTCTCACAATTTAGGAATCAGAAGTTCCAACTCAAAATAATGGTATCAGCAAGAGCTGGTTCCTCCTAGGACCTCAGAAGGAGAAATCAGTTTTATGGCTGTCTTCTAGCTTTCGCTGATTGTTCACGGTGCCGTGGCATTCCTTCCTTTATAGATACATTGCTCCTAGCTCTGCCTCTGTTATTACGTGATGTTGCTCTGTTGTTTTTTCTCACATTTCCCTCTGTATATGTGTCTCTTCTCTCTGTCTCTATTTATCTATCTATCTATTTTTTGAGATAAAGTCTTACTTTGTAGTACAGGCTTAATTGATCTTGCTTATGTAGCCCAGGTTAGCCTCGAATTCATGGCGCGCCACCATGTCCCAGCCTTGTGTGTCTTCTCTTCAATTATGCCATTCAGATTGGATTTAGAGCCCATCTGGATATGCAGGATGATTTCCTCTTCGGAAGAACCTTACCTTAGTTTCATCTTTAGAGACCCTCTTTTCAAATAAGGGAATATCATTTTGGGAGCTGACATTCCAATTATTTACAAAGCATGCTCTTAACCTCTTAATTCTTCAGGAAAATACATTGGTATTTAAAATTGTTTTTGTTACTTTCATGGTCTTACAGCAAACTCTGATCTCCATTTCTTTTCTTTTTTGCAGTTGGTTCTGATAAAAGGGTCCCAGCAATGCCTGGATCGCCTGTGGAAGTGAAGATACAGTCAAGATCCTCACCTCCCATCATGCCACCCCTCCCGCCAATAAACTCTGGAGGACCAAGACCAGTGTCCTTTACTCCTACAGCATGTGAGACCTCTTAATTACTTGGATTTATGGCTCAAAGTGACATTTGGATCTGTGACTGACTTCCATTGAATGTTCTACATATACTATTCAACATTTTCAAATGCTGTTAAATTACTATATAGCTAAAGATAGATATAGAAAGCTGGGATCTATGGTGGCTCAGTGCAAAGGCCCTGGCTTCAATCCCCAATATCAAGAAGAAGAAAAAGGAAAACAAAAAGATATAAAAAGCTAGGCTTGCCAGATATGCTACCACATACCTGTAATCTCAGCACTCAGGGGACTAAGGTAAGAGGATCACTGCGAGTTTGAGGCCAGCCTGGACTACGAAGAAAGTTCAAAGCCAGCCTGAACTATGTAGTCAGATCCTGTCTCAAAAACAAAACAAACCCCCGTCCCCCAAAAAAGAGCCTGGCTTAGTGATACATGCCTATTATCACAGCATTCTGCAATGTTCTGGGAAGCTGAGGCAGGATGGTGATTCAATAAGGCTTAGGTGATTCAGTAAGAGTGTCTGTCTGTCTGTCTGTCTCTCTCTCTCTCTCTCTCTTTCTTTCCCTCCTTCCCTCTGTCCCTCTTCTCTTCCCAGTAAGTTAACCTAGGACCTTTGCACTGAGTTACATTTCTAGTCTTTTTTTTTTTGAGTCTCACTGTGTAGTTGAGGCTAGTCTTTAACTCACTATGTAGCCCAAGCTGGCCTCAAACTTGCAGTGATCCTCCTGCCTCAGCTTCCCAAATGCTCAAGTGCTAGGATTACAGGCATGTGGCACTATGTCTGGCTCCATCCCTTGTGGTATTTTATTTTATGTCTTTTTGAGTCACTAAATTGCCCTGGGTAGGCTTGAACTTGCAATCCTCATCCTTAAGCCTCCCAGAAATGCACCAGCATACTTGGTAACATCATATCTCAAAGTAAATAATCAGAATAAGTGTAGTTCCATCAAAGGCCCTGGATTCAGTCCCTTGGACGACACACAAAGAGAAAAGCTTGTGGGTTTTTTTTTCGTTTGTTTTTTAAATGTTCCTCATTCCCTATGAGAATTGTAATTATTTTAGATATTTAGAAAAATAATGGTATAAATATATTCTTACTCTTTGTCTATTAAGTAATTATTTTTACTTCTTTGATTGTAACTTTTTTTTTTTTTTTAATTGTTGTACTGGGTATTTAAGACAAAGTTTTGCCAAAAATCACTGAGTTGCCCAGGCGGGGCTCAATGTTGTGGCTTTTCTGCGTCAGCCTCCCAGATTGCTGATCCCAGGCATGTGCCATCACACCTGATGAATTTAAATTATTATATTGACTTAAAGGATTAAAAGTAAATTAAAAAATGGCCTCTAAAAGTGTTCTAAGGCTATCATAAGACCCTTTAGAAAAGAGAATGTAATAGTATTAATTTGCTGGGGCTGCCATAATGGAGTATTGTGTCATTGAGTATCTTATTCATTTTCTTACCATTCAGCAGTGTAGAAGTCAAAGATCAAAGTAAACCAAGGTTGCTTTTGAAACTTTTCTCCTTAGGTATCCATGGTCACCTTCTCCTGTGCCCTCCCATGGCCTTTGCTCTGTGCATAGGGAGTCCTATTGTCTTTTATTCTGCTTGCAAGGATACCAGTCCCATCAATTAGGCTCCACTAATTTGACTTCCTTTAACCTTTGCTACTCTTTCAATCTCTTTTCTCATATACAGTTAAAGTCTGAGATACAAAAGGTTAGGGCTTCAGCATTTTCATTTTTTTTTTTAGGGGTGAGGTAACAGGAACTGAATGTAGGACCTTTCAGTTGCCACACAGATGCTTTGCTGAGCTATATTGCCTGCCCCCATCATAGAATTTTTGAGAGGACACAATACAATCTAGAACAAGTCCGTTAGTCACTAACCATGTAATAGGAATCTCCCTCTCTTGCAATCAAGGAAATACAAACTAAAACCCAGTGTATTATGCAAGTTTTGGTAAGGACATCTTGAGCAACTTGAATGAACACTCATACATTGTTAGTTAAAGTGTTTGAGTTTTGTTTTGGGTTTGTTTCTTTCTATTTTTATTTTCCTTTCCCAGCATTGGGAATTAAACCCAGGTCCCTTGGCAATGAACTACATCCCCAACTCTTTCATTTGAGACAGTCTTAGTATGTAGTTCAGGCTGGCAATCCTCCTACCTCAGCCTCCCGAGTGCTGGGATTACAGCTGTGTGTCACTACACATAGCTCCCAACTCCTTCAATACAGCGTTACAATGTGTATTTCAGGCTACCTTTGAACTCACTCTGTAGGCTGAGCTGGCCTTAAACTCACAGAGATACTCCTCTATCAGCCAGTTGAGTGCTGGGATAACAGGTGTACACCAGCATGTCCAACCTGGGTTTGAATTTTTAATCAGTCTGCCTCACCTCCCAGAGGGCTCGGTTTACATACATGTACTACCACACTCAGTTTACATTTAATATTCGTTTTTTTTTTTTGTTTGTTTTTTTTACCTGACAGTCTGTCTCTCTATGCATCAATCTAAGAACAGAAACGAAAGTCGTATGTAGTCTTTCAACATGTGCTTTACAATGAAGGAGAACACAAAAAGAAGTTAACAAAAGACCCTTCATGTTCTGCATTTAAACTGAGTCTCTCATTTTGGCTTTGTTTTAGTAAGCAATGGCATCAACCATTCTCCTCCCAACCTGAATGGTGCACCATCTCCACCACAGAGATTCAGCAATGGTCCTGCATCTTCTACATCATCAGCACTAACAAATCAGCAGTTGCCAGCCACTTGCGGTGCTCGACAACTTAGCAAGTTGAAACGGTTTCTTACCACCCTACAGCAGTTTGGTAATGATATCTCACCTGAGATTGGAGAGAAGGTTCGCACACTTGTCCTAGCACTGGTGGTAAGCACGGCATCATTGTTGTCAACCGTTGCCTGACAGCTTTGGCATCCATAGCCAGCAGAGAAATTGTGGATGTTGCTGCTAATTTCCTACGTACAGTGGGACCTCAGTTCACAAACTTAATTTGTTCCATTATTCTGGAAATGGTAGCCACAATCATGTTCATGCTGGAAAGATGGCCATGGCTGGTCACCTGATGCAATTCCCATACAAAACAAATTTTGCCAAAAGCTTCTGTTTGCAAACAAAAACATTTATGAACTAAGGTACCACTGTATAGTAATGAGAAAAATTCTATGGACCGAATTAGTTATAATTTGTAAAATACTGTGCAATTACTTATTTCGTAACAGTGTTTATCCAAGAAACAAAAGGCTTATACCTTTTTGTTTAAAGCTAATAGTAGCTTGGAGTTTGTCTAAAACTGGTTTTAGTAGACCCCCTGAGGTCCAACCAAATTAATGCAGGGAATTTTGTAATTTAATATTCCATGCCTGGCATACTCTTTCCAAACTAAAGAAAATAAGAAGTAGTCAGTTAATGTTCAAAACAACAATTTATAAAATTACTAGTCTCGTGGTCTGGTATCAAAGGGATTAAACAGTTGTTTTAGAATTTTATTTCTTTTTAAAATTCTTATTAGTACATGTTTACAGTACTTAATCATTACCTTCTTCATGAGGAGTTGTACATGAACGTAATATATTTTAATTCTTTCCTATTTCCCTTCTTTCTACACTTTAGAATTTTCCAGTATTCCTAATCTTTCTTTCTTTCTCTCTCTCTCTCTCTCTCTCTCTTTCTATACTGAGTGTCCTGAGCCTATGAAATGAGTGGTTTTCTGGTACTGACCATTAGATATAGTTGACAGAGTTTATAAGGGAAGTACTGCTAGTTCTTAGTATTTGTACTTCAAGATTTATCCCAGTAAAACTACTCTGTTCTCTAGGGCAGTTTTACTTACTCAGTCATCTGTTCATGGACTGTGGGGTTGCTTCTTACTTTTCACAATGTGTATACAAATCTTTCCTAAACCATAGTTTCATGGTTAATCCAGGTTGTAACATATATCCAAATTACCTTTTTTTTTAAGACTAAATTATATTCTGTTGCACAGAACTGCCATTAGAAGAAAAATTAACATGTTCCTAGTGTTAAATTTGTCTAATCAAAAAAGTATCTCCTTGTTTTATTACAATAATTATGAGTAATATTTTGGTAGGAATACATAAGTGGAACCAGAATTTCCAGGTAGTGGATAACTCATTAGCCAAATTCTAAAAAAGACGCAATTGGGTATTTATCTGCAGTCTTTGTCCTAGTGTGCAAAATATAGGCTGCTAGTACTCCTTAACTATACTAAGGATCAAACATGACCATTTTCTGCTGCAAGGTTAATATATGTCTATTTATTTGTAGAATCTACATTCCTGAGGATAGATTGGCAGTATTTCATATTCCTTAAACTTCAGTAGTTCTTTCAATTCACCAGTATCACTTTTTGAAATTCATACTAAGAAAGTAATGAAGTCGTGCATTAAGATAATCAGTCTAGTACTGGAGAGACTAAGGCAGGAGAATTGCTAAGGATTCAAGGCCAACTTTGAATTACATAGTGAAACCCTGTCTCAATACCCATCCCTACCCTCCCCACACACGATAATCAGTTTAGAGCTAGGGATGTAGCTTAGTAGTACCATATATAAGACCCCAAGTTCTATTCCCATTGCCTTCTCCCCTCCTCTTAAAAAGATAAATCAGTTTCACATTACTTATAATCAAGGAAATTAAAGCTACTAAACTTCTATTATAACCATAATTATATTATATAATTGAATTTTATGTAGTCATTAAGTATCAAGTCATATCAGAGGCTGAGGCAGGAGGATCACTGAATTTGAGACCAGCCTGAACTATAAGGTGAGCTTAAGGCCAGCCTGAACTTCATAATGAGACCTGTCTCAAATAGACCAAAAAAAGTAAGAATCAAGTTGTGTTCTGTTTCCTAGGCAAGAGAGAAATACTCCCTGTTTCTTCTGATTAATACAGCAAGATACCCTGGGTATTTTGTATATATTTTTAAAATCCACATGAATGTAATTATTTTGTACCATAGATATGGACTAATAAAAATTAAAAATTTTTTTTGGTTCTGGGGGATCGAACTCATGACCTTGTAAAAATTTTAAAATAAGAAAAAATAATTAATAAACAATAAGACTCTCAAAAGATAGACAGTAGGGGTTCACTGATTTCCATGGGACCCAAGGAACAACACAGTAAGATAGGGACAAAGATTTTGCTTTTAATAATATATCCTAGAAAGCAGAAACTGGTAACTTGGAAACACCAGTGAGCTCAAATTAAAGTGCTTTTGTCTAGCCCAAAGAACAGGAAAGGAACAACCACACAAGACAGAAACTTTTAGATAGTAACCATCATACTCCGGCCAAACATCTTCAGTTAAAACTGTGATAATGAAAGGTACCTTTCTCCCTTTATCAGATTCTTCTTTTTATTTCTGACTACTAATATCATAGATCAATTTGATTCAATTTACAAGTGTCATGTGCTTCAAACAAATACTTACACTCAGTTTAAAGAATTTGAAAATGGTTTATAGACATTGAAAAGAATTTTATTGTGAAATAAGATAAAATGTTCAAATATTCATGTAACACGATTAAACTGGGTATACTCGCGGGCATGGTGATGGCCTCCATCTATAATCCCAGCTTTCAGGAGGATGGGGCAGGCCAACCTGGACTACAAAGTGAGTTCAAGGCCAGTCTGAACTGCATAGTAAAATTCTGTCTCAAAAAGGCATAAAAAAGGAGGGTTTGGGTGGGCTGGGGTGGGGTGGAGGATGTAGCTCAATGTAAAGGCCCTCCAGTCAATCCCAAGTACTGCCTCCAAAATAAATGCTTAAATGTTTTGCTTTTTATTTTAGTTTACTATATTAAAAACTAAAAAGTTTGTAAATTTTGAAGAAAAATATTTTCATTTGCTTATTACCCTTAGCTGAGATTCATTCCTATTTTAAAAGCCTAGACTTTTGAGAAAATACAGGAGAAATGTTAATAAACTGTCTTGAGGATAATAAAAACTAACTGACAGTGCTTTGCCAGTTTTGTTTTATGCTGATATGCACACAGTGCACTTGATGGTAGAAGGCAACTATTGCTCTTTTTTTCTTCTAAACTTTCCATGTAGAAAATTCAGGACACCTATTCGGTAACACAGGTGGACAGAAGAGGACAGGGAAGTTGGGATAATGGATGTGGAGATGAGAATAAACAAGGTGAAATTTCTGTCATTAAGAAAACAGAATTTAGCTTACCTTTTGTTGTTGTTTGTTTTGTTTTTTGTTTTGAGACAGGGTCTCACTATGTAGCCCCAGTTGCCCTTCAACTTGCAGTATCTTCCTGCCTCAGCCTCCTAACTGCTGAGATTACAGGTGTACGCCACCTTTGATTGGAATCAGTGTCCATAATGGTGTCCTCAGAACTATCATTTTCCTTATGATTTAAAAGGGTTCATCACTGTGCAAGTCAGTGTCCAGTTTTGAAAGCTGAGTAACACTGTGTATCTTTCTAGAACTCAACAGTAACCATTGAAGAATTCCACTGCAAGCTCCAAGAGGCCACAAATTTTCCTCTTCGTCCTTTTGTGATTCCATTTCTGAAGGTAATTATGATAAACTGCTGATTGTCATTTATATTCAGTATTTCCTGAAGTGTCTACTGATGCCCGTTAAATGTGGTCAAGATCAGGAAAGCTTGCCACATTCTTACATATTTATTTTATTTTGGACTGGTAGAGAGGTGTGAGTATAATCTGCAAATAAGCCTCATGCTTTAGGAAATGAGCATTGCAGAAGCCTTGAGTTGAGTTCTATGTGCACTGTTGGTAATGCTTACAAAAACAGGTGGTTCTAGAGGAAGAAGTTGGGTGGGCTGGAGGTGTAGAGGTGGGTAGGTAGATGCTGAAGAGATTGCTGGCCACTAAATCTTTTGAATATGACCAAAAGGAGAAGAGTATGTGTTATCCGAGTGGAGGCTGGTAACAAAGGAGAAATTTCTGAAGTTTGGACTTGTCCTGAGTTCGGATAATGTGACAAGGCAATAAAACATTAATGTCTCCCCAAACTCTTGTTTAGTGTAGTCTTCATAATGTCTTCTGGAATTACTGTTCCCAAGAACATAAATTTTGGGGACACTGTTCTAAATCATTGCTTTTACTTGATAAGTAAGACAGTGTTATATTTATATGGAATATGGGCCTTTGGGAAGCTTTTTTATTTTAAAATTTTACACAGACAAGCAAAAAAATGGTACAATAAAACTTTCTCTATAATCTTCACCCACATTTTCCAAATGCTACCACTTTGCCACATTTGTAGTTTCTGTTTTTCTTCAGAAATGTTTAAATATAAACTGCTGCTGAGCATGCCGGTACTTGTCTGTAATTCCAGTACTCTGGGAGGTTGAGGCAAGAGAATAACAAGTACTAGTCTAGGCTACTTCAGAATTTAGTGAGGCCATATCTGAAAAAAATTGAAAAAGTGGCTGGAGGTGTAGTTCAATGTGAAGAAGGGCCTGTGTTCAATCCCTAGTACCAGAGGACAAAAAAATTGCACACATAATATTGAAGCCAGACGTGGTGGCGCATTCCTCTAATCCCAGCATTTGGGGAAGCTGAGGCAGGGAGATCAAAAGTTGAAGCCCTACCTGGGCAGTATAGTAATTTAGCAAGATCCTGTCTCAAAAAATGTAAAGCTGGGGATGTGAGTGAGTGCAAAGACCCTGGGCTGACTTCCCAGGAAAGGGAGAGGAAGGGTGGGAAAGATTAATAGTGTCCTACCAATGTCTTGGGGTTTTTTGAAACAGGATCTCACTGGGTAGTTCAAGCTGATCTTAAACCCATTATGTAGCCCAATTTGAATTGGCAAGGATCTTCCTGCCTCAGCCATCTGAGTGCTGGGATTATAGGCATAAGCCACCCCACCCATTACTGTTCTTTACAGAAAGAAAAAAAAAGCCACCCAAATTTTTTATGGAGCTTGATTCCTGGATCTAATTCAGAATCACTGTTTAATTTTAGTTATGTCTCTGCAATCCGTTCTGTTCTGTTCTGTTCTGTTCTGTTCTGTTCGAGACAGGGTCTCACTATGTAGCACAGGCTGGCCTTGAACTCACAGCAATCCTTCTACCTCAATTTCCTGATAACTGGGATTACAGGTGTGCACCACCACACCTGGCTGTGCTTTACATTTTTGAAGAATACTGTTTGTTTTATAGATTACACCTCTGTTTTGTTTGGAAGGTTCCTCATAATTAGAATCAGGTGAAACATTTTGTGGGGGCAGAAATAGCTAAAAGGCAACAATCACTCTATGTTTCAAGACACTGGTGATAATTTTTCTATCATTGATAATGTTGACCTCAATCACTTTATAAGGTTGGTGTCTGCCATGCTTTCCCACTGAAAATTACTCTTTTGCCACTTAAATGGTAGTTTTGCAAAGTATGTAACAGTTTGATTCATACAAATTTAAAAAAAAAAAATGAAGCTGACAGAGATTTTATTCAGCCCCGAGTAGTGCATACCTGTAATCCCAGCACTTAGGAGGCTAAAGCTGTGAGTTCAAGGCCAGTCTGAACTGTGTAAAAGACCTAGTCTCAAAAAATAAAAAGCAAAAAAAAAAAAAAAAAAAAAAAAAGATTTTATTCAATTCATAATTAATGACTGAATCAATAGGATGTCACAGCCAATTCAGGGAGCGTCCAGATAGCTGACATACATACATCAGACTGTACAAACACAGGTGAAACATCATCTACAATGGGCAAGGGAAATCAATGGAATTTCTCACAGACAATTTGTATACTCATAGAGAGTAGTTATTTTATAACAGTATCATTTATCTAGAAGTTAAATAGTTATAAAATAGCTGCAGGGCAATAAAAAGACTAGTCAGACAACTAGTTTGTTGTTGACTAGACTGAATGAACTGTGACCCAAATCTAGTCCATAACATGGTTTTACAGGTGAACTTTTGTAATTGACTTGGTGATAGGTGATAATTAACTTGTACTCCAAATAAACTGCATGCTGTCATATCATCCCCTCTATACTGAGGATTGAACCCCCAAATAGCTAATTTTACAGGCATGTACCACTGCACCCAGTCATTCTTTTCATTAGTAATAAATTGAAAAAAAAATTGTACTCAGTTGTTAGTGCATGTTGAATTTTGTCAGTACAACATTTGTGGACATTTTTTATCTTGATTTCTTACACTAGGACTCACTAGGTAGCTCAGTAGCCCAGGCTAGCCTCAAACTGGAAATCCTCTTGTCTCAGCCTCCTGTGTGCTGAAATTACAGGCATTAGTCGTCATGCCCCATTTATATCTTTAATATTTGCAACTTGATTCACAAAGTATACTTTATAGCCAAATAAAAATGCCTGTTTTCTTTCACCTGCTTTTTATTTCCTACAAAAATGTCATAGTATCCAAAAAATGACTCATTAAAGAACTGATACCAGATTTTTAAATATTTTGAGGAATGCGGGTGTTGCTAATTGGTAGAGACTTACCTAGCATTTGGGAAGTCCTGTGTTCCATCTCTAGTACTGAAAAAAGGAAAAAAAAATTACAGATGGTTTCAATTGAGCTTAATACACATAGAGGGAAATGCCCAGTTCAAGATACACAGCCCATGTTATGCTCTGTTCTGACAGCACAGAGGGTGGCCCTTAGCAGCCTATGGCCTTTTCCAACCACATACAGGATGATCTCTTGGTCTTTTTTTACATGTTAAAATCATGAACAGTTATTTCCCCAAGTCTCTTGAACCAAGAAAGATTCCTGAAATGTGTGTTAATAGAAAATAATTAGCATTTTTAGTCACCAAAGGGCATGTCGCAAATGTAAAGATCTAAGTTTTTATAGTTTAAACAGAATTGCAATTACAGAGCAGACTTAAATGTATTTTATATTTTCAAATTCCCTATTCTTAACTCAATTATTTTAGAAAAGAGCATGAGGTAGGTTGTTATGGCAGCTTTTTGGCTAGCATCTTGGGTTTCCTCAATTCTGCTTAACAGTCACTAATTATAGTGCCTGCTAAATTAACCCTCAGTTAAAGGATGACTAATTGAATGTATTAAAATCCACCTTTTTTTTTTAAAAGTTCATCTATTAGTATAAAGACTTCATTATGGGCTCAACCTGTATTATATTTAAATTTAGGGAGGAAAAATATAATTTTTCTTAATAAAAGAAATATATTCTTTATAGAAATTAATTCTGAAATTTAAAAGATGAACAGAGGGATTTTTAATGACTCATTCCCATTAAAAATTTTCTGGTTATAAGTTAAAAAATCATTATATAATAAATATTTCTCTTTTACAGATTACATTGCTTTCTATACTCCTTTTCAAAACTCTTATGTTCCAGAATAATCCCAGTATCCAGAATTCTAACATAACTCAGGAAGACAAGATTGAATAATTTCATCAAAGATCAGTTGGGTCCAGAAAACAAAGTCAGGTTTTATAATGTAGAGCAAAGAATGAATTTCTCCTAATTACATGTAGGAAGTAGCAATTTTCTATCATTTTTTTTTTTTGTCTTTCTCATTTTTATCGGTACCAGGAATCGAACTCATAACTGCCTGCTTGCAAGGCAGGCGCTTATGCCACTGAGCTAAATCCCCAGGCCCAGGAAGTAGCAATTTTCTAACAGACCAAACTTTTAAAAAATATCTATTTTCTTTTTTTTTTTTTTTAAATATCTATTTTCAAATTAATATGTTCAAAAATCTTCATTGAGTTTTAATGCTGCATTAACCACAAAAAAAGGTGAATAAGGCAGTTGTCATTAGGGCATTTACATTTTAGAACCAGAAGCAAGTTAATCAGTAATTCAAGTGCAGGATGCTAAATACCACCTCTTAAAAGAAGCTGAAAGAATGTTACTAAATTGGAGAACTGTGCTTTTGTCATGTGTTACCTTCATTGTGAAATCCCTTTGAGGTGCTAATCCCTATTGTATAGGGCCCAGCACCGAGAATACTGCCTCTTCTTTTAAAGGCCAACTTGCCCCTGCTGCAGCGAGAACTGCTGCACTGTGCACGAGCTGCCAAGCAGACCCCTTCCCAGTACCTGGCCCAGCACGAACACCTTCTGCTTAACACCAGTATCGCATCTCCTGCCGACTCTTCTGAACTGCTCATGGAGGTGCACGGTAATGGGAAGAGGCCCAGTCCAGAAAGGTGAGAAGAAATTTGTTGTCCTTGATTTTTTTTTTTTTCTAGAATTTCTAATCTTCTCCCTTTGCTTAAGAAAAAGAATTTGATCGCTGGGATCATAGATGGGTGCAAGACTTTCCAAAGTGAAGGAAGCTTTTGTAAATAAAGAGGGAAGAGAGGCTGAAAGGAGGGGAGGGGAAATGGGAAAAAAGAAGCAAGATGTGTAACAGCCACAAATTCCCTATGATGAGTGTCATCACTGTGTATGTCCAAAATGTACTAGAAAAATAAAAAGGGGGGAAAAATTCACAAAAATGCTTTCCAAGATTGATTTTCTTTTTTCCCCTCTTAAGAACACTGTATACCACTAGTAAGAAATAGAAGCAAGGGGCTGAGGATTTAGCTCAGCGGCATAAGCGCCTGCCTTGTAAGCAGGCAGTCGTGAGTTCGATCCCTGGTACCGATAAAAAGGAAAAAGACCAAAAAAAAGAAATAGAAGCAGAAGAAAACTCAAGTTACTCCTACTCAGCCATCAACACAAAAGACTTATTTGATCAAATTTGTGGGAAAATTCTCCCTGTGCATTAAGCAAGCAGTTAGTTTTTTAAGGAAACGGGATAGGTTGAGGGCTAAGTCACTAAGACTACCCACTCCTTTCAGAGGTGATCACAAGCTCCATATTGTTTTTCTTGTGCTTCTAATTGGCTAAAAATCTTACTTCCTATAATAGCCTCCTCAAGTTTGATTAATTTCCTCTACTGGATCACAGAATTCATGGAAAACACTATCCTTTCCTAGATTATTGTAAAAGGTATTATATATGCTACTAATGGACATATGATGAAAAATGGATAGGGCAGAGTACTAGGAAAGAACACTGAGCTATCATGCCCTGCCAGCCTTCTATAAGCTCTTGGACTTGGACTTTGCCCCCCTCCATTTGAACCTTCATTATGTAGTCATGATTGATTAAATCCTTGACCAATGTGATCAGCTTAACTCTCCAGCCTCTTTCTGCTCCCAGAGTTTGAGAAGCAGGGCTGAAAGTCACAATGCTCTAATTCTTTAACTACCCTTTCTTTCTTTAACTGTCCCACATCCTAGGGACTACCAGCCATTGCCAGCTCACTAGCATATAAAAAGACCTGTGGCTTCAGAAATTGTAAAGATTTTAGAAGTTAGTTTGCCAGGCAGCAGGATGAAGACTTAAATATTGTATTTCACAGAATCAGAGGTGGTTACCACAATATTCCTTAGTTATCAGAGAAGCAATATTTTAACAACACTGGAAAATTTACTCTTGGACATGAATGACTAAAAATCCCACCGAGTCACAAGAGAATTCATCATATGAGCCTTTTCCTAAACTGGGCATTGTTGGACAGTTTCAACTCTTAGGAAACTAAGGCAGGAGGACCACAAGTTCAAGCTCAGCATGGGTATTGTGTTTTTTCTTGAGACAATACCTCTTCACTAGTTCAGGCTGGCCTTCAACTCATGGTCCAACCCAGGCTGGTGTCAAACTCCTACCTTGGTCTTGTAAGCACTGGAAACACAGATGTGTGCTACCACACCTGGCCATTCCTCTATATTTCTGTTGCAGAAGAAAATGTCATTTAGTCTTTGCCTCATTACAGTTAGAAGTTTTTGCCTGATTATGGACTGTTGACTTCATTCTTAGTCCTGGAATAAATCAGCAATTTGTTTGTTTTTGAGACAGGGTCCGCCTGTGTAGCTTAGGCTAGCCTCAAACTCATGGCAGTCCTCCTGCCATGGTCTACCAAGTGCTAGGATTTCAGGTGTGCACCAATGTGTCCAGTTTTTAAATCAGCAGTTTACAAGCCAGATGTGATGACACACCTGCAATCCCAGCATTTAGGAGGGTGAGGCAGGAGAATTATTGCAAGTTCGGGACCAGCCTGAGCTGCAAAGTAAACTCAAGGCCAGACTGAACTGCATAGTGAGACCAAAAATTCAGTCAATCAGCAATTTATAGAATGTGCCTGACTCCCAAAGACAATTCAGTTTGTGCCTCACATCAAACCTTTTCTAAACTGGGCATGATGGGACAGATCTTAGTCCCAGCTCATTCCATGTCTGAAGCAAAAGAATCATGTGAGCCCAGGAGTTCAGGGCTAACCTGGTCAACTATAGAAGACCTGTCTCCAAAAGAAAAAAAGCAGGCTGGGCATAAAAATACTTGTAATCCCAGCATTCAGGAGTCTAAAGCAGAATTTCCAAGAGTTTGGTTGTTTTTTTTTTTTGGTTTTTTTTTTTTTTGTCTTTTTCATTTTTATCGGTACCAAGGATCGAACTCACGACCGCCTGCTTGCAAGGCAGGAAGTGCTTATGCCGTCAGCTAAATCCCCAGCCCCTTTCCAAGAGTTTGAAGCCAGTTTGAACAACATAATGGGACTCTCAAAAACAAACCAACCAGCTGGGCATAGGGGCACACACCTGTAATCCTAGCACTTGAGAGGGTGAAACAGGAAGATCACAATGAGTTCTAGGGCAGCCTGCGCTACATAGTGAGTCTGGTCAGCCTTAACTGTATAAGACCCACCTGCCTTTCTAAGGAATGGTTTATTTGCCCTTTTTTGATTGGTTTGGTTGGTTTGGTTTTTCTTGTGAGACAGGAATATTATAACTCACTGGCACAGAGCCTGCCTGGCAAGCACAAAGTCCTGAGTTTGATTCCTGGTACAAAAAAAGAAAGGTTGCAGTTGTAAGGTATGTGCATGTCATATGCAAAGACCTAAGTTCAGTCCCCAGTACTAGAAAAAGAAAACCCTTTACTTAGAGTCTTTCTGCATGGGAAAGTACTATATGTAGCATAATACATAACAGACTACTGCTCAGGAAATGTCTATATTAATGCTTGTTAATGACTATTTTTGGCACTCAATCCAAAGTGGCACAGGAGAGATAAGGAGACAGAAGAAGCCTTTAAAAAAGGCATGGGAGAGCTTTATACGGGTGCAGCGGCTCTCCATGAAAACGAAAAACTGAGACTGCTTTTATCAGTTTTGGCTGGGGGAGAAGTTTGGGAGATGGGCAAAAATGACATTAAAAGCTGACTTTTGAAGAAGCATCTGCCTGTGTAAAGATTTACTCAGGGCTAGGGTGGAGACCTGGGCGATTGTGGAGTCTTACGATCAGAGAGGGCTCAGCACACATGCAAAAAAAGGAGTGGGAGATTTATTTCTGGAATGAGAAGGAGAACATAGAAGATATTCTTGGAGAAATAAATTGTTTCTCTAGGTCCAGTACCAAGTTGGGCAGATGTCATGTTACAGATAGCCAAGCCCCAGGTTAGCAGGACCTGTCAGTTAACAGGCTAAGATACCATGTCTGCTTCTTCTTTAGGAGGGAAGAAGGTAATTTTGATAGAGATACCATTCCTCCTGAACCCCCTGCCAAGAGAGTATGTACCATCAGCCCTGCTCCTCGGCATAGTCCTGCCCTCACTGTACCCCTTATGAATCCTGGTGGCCAGTTCCATCCTACTCCTCCACCTCTTCAGCACTACACCTTAGAAGATATTGCAACTTCCCATCTGTATCGGGAACCCAACAAGATGCTAGAGCATCGGGAAATTCGTGAGAGACACCACAATCTTGGTAAGTGACCTAGATAGTGTACTAATGTTTTAAATTGAGACTGAATACTTGAGGTTTTTTTCCTACTCTAAGAAATGTCATCATTGCTTTTTTTCTTCTGATAAAAATAGCTGGATGTGGTGATGAGACCACCCAGCACTTGGGAGACTGAGGCAGAAGGATTGCCATGAGTTTAAGGCCAACGTAGGTTAAATAGTGAGTTTAAAGCCAGTCTGAACTACATAACAAGACCCTGTTCCAAAATGAAAAAACAGGATAGGGATTGTTGCTCAGTCCAGAAGCCTTAGGTTCAATCCTTGGGACTATAAAAAAAACAAAAGGACTGAGAATGTAGCCAAGTACAAAGGCTTTGTGTTCAATTCCCAGTACACACATACACACACACACACACACACACACACACACACCCCTTATATATAAAGGAGAATATTACAATTATAGTGTTTCATCTGATATTGAGCATACTTCATATTTTTTTGCTACTGTCATGCTAAATGTATATTATCAAAAAGGTCTGAAAAAGTAACAATGAATATAAAAATGGGGATTAAAACTGAACAAATTCTTATAAATACAACAAAGAATTAATATTACTTATTTTGAAATGTATCAGAACAAAATAGAAAATGAGTAGCAATGAGATAAAATATTAGTATTTGGGAGACATGTATGAAAGATATATGGTAATTTTTTGTTATTCTTAAAACTTCTGTAAGTCTAAATTTATTTTTTTAATGTGCAAAGATGTAAAATATGATCCTGAGGGTGAACTTGCACAGATAGGAGTTAACATATCAACATTTAAATAGTTGCTTAATGTGCGTCCAGCTGTGTGATTAACATGTAACCAACTGAGAGCTGGAGATTTAGCTCAGTGGCATAAATGCCTGCCTGGCAAGTGTGAGGTTGAAAGTTCAATCCCTAGTACCAAAACAAAACAAAACAAACATGTGACCAACTATTGAGTGTTGCTAAGGCTCTCAGCCTCAGAGCAATAATTACTAAAATGGAGCTATCTCTGCTTCTTGTTCATTTGGCATGCCTAAAGCATGGACCTTTAATACTATCACATTTAGGAAGGAACAAAAACAAGGAAAACATACCTAATCTGAGATCAGTTTTGGAAAGGGCTTTTTTTTCCTCTATGTACTCAGACAAGTTTATTAAATAAGCTTCTTTGGAGTTTACCTACTGAGCACATTTCAGTGCAGAGAAACAAAGGGCTATTCCATTCCAGGGTTTCTTGTACCTATTTGTGGTACATCCTGTAGAGTTAAAAAAAAAAAAAAAAAGTAGTAACTAAATGGTCATGATAGAAGTGATATTATTCTCAGCCACTAGTAGTCACCAAGTCTTAGCAACCACTGCATTGTCATTTAATCCTCACAGAAGTCCCAAGCTGTTGTTACTTCCTTTTTAAAGAAGAGATATAAAAAAACTATAGCCAACTGTACATAGCTGAGTTCAGGCCCAGCTTTTTTAGTTGTGTTTCTAATAGCTTTAGAAAAAACATTTTTTTAGCCAGGTGTGGTGGCACACACATATAATCCCAGCACTGGGGAGGCTAAGTCAGGAGGATTACCAGGAATTCAAACTCAGCCTGAGCAACGTAGGTAGTGCAGGGCCAGCCTGCACACTTTCAGACTCCATCTCAAAGAAAAAACCTTTAGTTTCATTTACAAGCATACTAAAAAAATTTTTTAAAGCGTACTATTAGTTATCTACCTTAATGGTTTCTTTTAGTTTTTGTAGCCATTTGTCTGCTAGACTTCTTATAGATTCTTTAGTTTCCATCAGACCTGTATGAAAATGTGTGCCTTTTCTGATGGCTCTCAAGCCTTATCAAACAATTCACCATGCAACCACATTTTCTAAACAAAAACGTATCGTTCCTTTTGTTCTCATAAAATGAAATTTAAGGATACCATAAATCCCACCTTAGTTTCATAACTTCAGGTTCAACATTCTATTTTAGCTTTAATATGTAAGAAAATCCTGGGCTGAGGTGTAGCTCAATGATAGAGTACTTGTCTAGCATTTTAGAAACCCCAGATTCAATCTTCCTTACCACAGAAACACAAGTATCTTACAGTAACACAATCACTAGTATGTTAGTGCTGTGAAAGAAGAATATTCTTCTGATACAGAACCAATATGAGTACAGTATGTATAAAATCAAACTTAACAGGAATGTTATAATTCAAAGACCATTAGCAGTGTTGTTAAATGTCAGTAGAGTTTCTCAAAATACTAGTCAACTCTATGGCACAGTGCCTGCTTTGCAAACATGAGGCCTTGAGTTTGATTCCGGTAGCAAAAAACTGGTTAACTCTTGATTAAGTATACCCTTTATCCACAGAGTTGTTACATTCCTAGAAGTTTCATTGTGTATCAAATACTGTCAATACTGAGCTATTTTCAATACATAATATAGTACAGGTGGTTAAGCATTTATGTTGTACATCTTTGTCACCACTTGGTGTTATCTAACATTAATTTGTTCTAGTACAGTATGTTTGATGTTACATGCTATCCAATTTGAAGGTTTTTTCATGTTTATGAACTATTTTCCTTGTCTGAGATATAACTTATTTATTTCTTTTGCCTGTTTTTCTTAATTGTTTGTTTTTCATGTTTGATTGGTCGGAATGCTAAACCCAGTGTGATCAAAAAATATGTTGCGATTGCTTTTAGTAAGACATGTTGCCATAAATCCTCCCTCAAAAGTACTCTTTCTAGCATCAGATACACTTAACCCATCCTTCTTGCCACCTTCTGAAGTATTTCAGTAAGTCTTTTCTCCATTTGTGTTCTTAGTTGTACTGTGATGACTGCCTTGATATCATTTTTGTTTTGGGTAAGAGCCAAAAGTTGCATATTGCCATGTTTGGTAAATAAGATAGATGAGGACACATTGTACTGTTTTTATAAGCCTGCCTTTCTATTGAATGGCCCTCACCAACAGCATTCACTGTTGTTGTTTTCATTTTTTTGAGAGAGTTTTTTTCTGTAGTTCAGTTTGATCTGGATTTCATGGAGGTCCTTCTGCCTCAGCCTCCTGAGTGCTGGGATTGTGGGTGTGTGGGTCAGGCTCCACTGATTCACTATATTTTTTATCATGCCTCATAAAAACTCACAAAACAGGATTTCCAAAACTGTTTCACAAAGTGAGAAAACAATGTGATAGATAAGTAGGTTGGAAAGAGAAGCATTTTGAGCGCATGAATGGCAATGTGTCTCACTATAGTGCATTTTCTAATTTAAATATTCACTATTGTTATCCCAAATATTGAATAGTTATCCAACTATTGTAATCCCTTTTCCAGTTTTTCTCATAATCCAAAAAGTTATATTTGTAATCCCATTGAAATGTTACTGAAATCCCAGCAAATTAATTCCAATCTACCACCTCCAATGCAACCCACTGTGAGAGTAAAGATACCAACGACATATTCCAAGTGAAGGGCAGCCAAGGGGTCCTAAGTCCAATTCCTGTGAGGGTGTATAGAAAAAGGCCCTGATCCTCAGTCTCTCCCAGAATTTATTATCTTGTGAAGAAAGGGGGGGTGGCTGGCTACAGGATGAATGTTAGTGAAGATTGGGGGGGTGGGGGGCTACATGAGTAACTTGAGCTGGCTAGCCAGGTAGGGGAAAAAGCATCTCTGCAAAATGCAGAGATAAGGATATGCAGAAGGAGTAATTTGCGTAATTAAGGTAGCAACTGTATTGTTTTAGGAGGCTGTGCTTTGGTTTCACAACCTCACACTTGCCAGGCAGGAGTTTAGGCCGCTGAGCTACATCCTCGGCCCTGGTTTCTGATATGTAAACTTTTGTGGCCTAGGGAGTCACAGCCTCTTTACTGTGACTCTTTGTGAGCACTGACAGCCTCTTTACTGTGAATACCCAGTTGATATTCCTGGAGCTGATGGCTCTACCATCCTCCTGTGCTCATGCCTTACAGAGAGCACTATTGGAGGAAACAGGAGACCTTCCCATGGCTTTAGAGATTACATATCAATACTCAGCTAGCCTTATTTGCAATGCTTAGAGCCAACTGAGGAGAGAAGGAAATACCATAGCCAGCTCTGTACATACCAGTGTAAGGAAATAAGCCTCCATATAATCAAAGTTGCAGCAATTGTTTTGCATTCAAGGGGAGACACTCTAGTTGCCTCCCACAATTCACCATTGGTTTCATTTTATATAGTCTGAATACATACACATCCTTGCTTGGTTATAGCATTTTTTTTTTTATTTTTTGGTCTTTTTTCTTTTTTATCGGTACCAGGGATCAAACTCACAACCACACACTTGCAAGGCAGGTACTTATGCCGCTGGGCTAAATCTCCAGCCCCGGTTATAGCATTTTTGTGATCATGCATCACATGGTAAAGCATTGTCTTACTAGTATGCATCTCCAATTTCTTATAGGTCTAAATGGAGGCTATCAGGATGAATTGGTAGACCATCGTTTGACAGAGAGGGAATGGGCTGATGAATGGAAACATCTTGACCACGTAAGAATCTTAGCATGTTTAATTTCAACAGCTCCTTATTATTTTTAATTCTTAATGCTACCAGTAGTTCATGTATGCTTGAAATGGATATAATATCCTTTGCTTTTAATAAAAGTTGGTTTATCTGCTACTTTCTCAGCTAGAAGGCTCCAAATCTTGATAGTGGTGTATTTTCTTCAGATCATAAGTCATGTAGTAAATGATTAAAGGAAAGATTATGAGTTCAGTTCACAGGTTTGCGACTTGTCTTTGCTAGCTGAATGTCTTAGTTACTTTTTACTCGTTGCTGAGACAAAATACCTGAAGCCCAAGTTGGGAAAGGAAAGCTTTATTTCTTACGGTTTTTGGAGGTTTTAGTCCACACTCAGTTGGCTCTAAGGCAGGCGGGCATGGCTGGGCCGCAGTATATGGCGGCTGCAGACAGCAAGCAGGAACCAGTAAAAGAGCAAGACACACCTTTTTCCTGCCATTACATCACATCCTGGCTCCACCCCTTTGTGGATATAGAACTGACACCATCAATTCAAGCACTGGACAGTGAACCATCACAAATGCACAATGCAAATGCATGAGTCCTGAGGGCCACAGACATAAACCATGCCACTGAATAAATTGTGTCACCTCTTTTAGTATGCATATATTTATTTTTGTTAGTTTGTTTGTTTTTGTTTTTTTTTTTAACCAGGAATGAAACTTGGGACCTTGCACTTCCCAGGCAGGTGTTTGTGCCACAGAGCAAAGTCCCCAGCCATATATATATTTTAAGTACAGCATTATTAGAATTCACAAGAGGGTTGTAAAAATATATAAGATGCTTTTCATTTGGCCCAGCAAATAGAGAGTGTTAAATACTGTGGACCCTTGAGTTCTGACCAGCCTGGCATAGGAACTACATAATACTGCCATTTTAGTTTTAATTTACAATTAAAGTCTTAAGTTATGACTCAAGCGCCAGCTACTTGTGGTTCCATATGGTCTCAGATGCTTATTTTTAACCCTAAAAGATTTCCAGAAGAAACATAACAACATCCTTTCCTGTACGGGGTTAATTAAGAAATCCTGGGCCAATGTCTCTCTAAGGACAGTGACCATATGTCTGTATACAACATAGAAACTGAATGCTGTATAGAGGACCCTGAGCTTTCAATTGACAGCCTGAGTTGCAACCAGCCCTCAGGCATGACTTGAATTCATAAGTCCCCTATAAATAGAGATTCTCCATATAGAAACAAGTAGTATACTGTAAAAAGTATTAAATAATTGGGACTTTTTCAAATGCAAACAAGAGTAGTGCACTAGTATAACATGTAAGCTTAATTGGGGCCAAGGATTCAGCTCAGCGGCATAAGTGCCCGCATTTCTAGGGTGAGGTCATGAGTTCGATTCCCGGTACCAAAAAAAAAAAAAGAATATAAGCTTGATTGCTGTTTTCCATTAGAAGAGAGAGTTCACCTCTCCCTAACGAAGAAAAAAAAGATGTCCTTGATTAAAATTTGCATGTTGTAGCTTTTCCTTCTTTTTTTTTTTTTTTTTTTTTTTTTTTTTTGGCTTTTTCGTTTTTATCAGTACCAGGGATCGAACTCACGACTGCCTGCTTGCAAGGCAGGTGCTTATGCCACTGAGCTAAATCCCCAGCCCGCTGTTCCTTCTTAAGTGATCGTTGTTCCTGGTCCTTTTTCTATGAGTAAATTTTTTTTTTGTCTTTTTTATCGGTACCGGGGATCGAACTCACAATTGCCTGCTTGCAAGGCAGGCGCTTATGCCACTGAGCTAAATCCCCAGCCCCAGAGTAAATTATTATTAAAATCACTAGCTTTATCAGTCTACTTAGAGAGATTTACTGTGGTTTAATCATTTTAGCAGACCATGTTATGATGGAACTATTTGGCTGCTTCAAGCTTAAAGATTATAAAAAGCAGATTTTTGGAATCCAAAAAATGAAAGTCATGTGCATACTAACTTTCAATCAGTGACATGCCACATTTATGATTTTGATTATCTACATCACCTAGTGAAGTCAAAGCTGGTTTAGTGTAAATACATGCTGTATATCATAGTCCAATAACAATGAAATTGTTCAACAGTGCATTTCTCAGTACATGTCCTTACTGTTAAAGAACATGTGGCTGTAAGTAAATCAAGTGTTTGTATGTGTAAAATTGGCCCTTGTGGGGCTGGGGATTTAGCTCAGCGGCATAAGCACCTGCCTTGCAAGCAGGCAGTCGTGAGTTCGATCCCTGGTACCGAAAAAAAGACAAAAAAAAATTGGCCCTGGGGATTCAACTAACCATGGACAGAAAATTTTTGTACAGGTATGGGAACGTAACTCAGTGGTAGGATACTTAACTTGGTATCCACTAGGCCCTGGGTTCTGTCTCCAGTGCTATACAATTTTTTGGAAGAGTTTTGTAAAGCCCAGTGTAGTGTACACACTTGTAATCCTAGAACTTTGGAAGCTAAGGCAGGAAGATCACTGAGTTTGAAGCCAGTGTAGACTAGATAGTGAGACCCTGTCTCCAAAAAATATTTAATTATTTAAATAAATATTTTAAAATGCATTTGTACAAAACATATCTAGACTTTCTCTATTATTACTTTTTTTTTTTTTTTATCGGTACCGGAGATCGAACTCATGACCACCTGCTTCCAAGGCAGGTGCTTATGCCACTGAGTTAAATCTCCAGTCCCCTATTATTACTTCTAAACAATACAGTGTAACTATTTGCATATTAAGTATTATAAATAAATTAGAAATGACTTATATAGTATATAGGAGACTATGTACAGAGTATATGCAAATTTGCGCTATTTTATATAAGGAACTTGAGTGCCCATGAATTGGTATCCACTGGGGATCCTGGAACCAAATCCCCATGGGATACTGAGTTATGACTGTGTATATTTAATAAGAAAGTCTTTCAAATATAAGCTTGGTGCTCTATACCTGTAAAATATGTGAAACTTTTGTTTTTTAATACCATGTTTGCATGTCTTTGGTTTTTCAGGATTCACTATTTGTATTTCCTCATCTCATCTCTGTCTGACTTTCTCTCTGGCTCAGGCCCTGAATTGCATAATGGAAATGGTGGAAAAAACCAGGCGCTCCATGGCAGTTCTCAGGCGCTGTCAGGAATCTGATCGAGAAGAACTGAACTACTGGAAAAGACGATTTAATGAAAACACAGAGATGAGGAAAACAGGGACTGAGTTGGTCTCCAGGCAACACAGCCCCGGGAGTGCAGATTCTCTAAGTAGTGGTAAGGGCAGAGTCTGAAGGAAACCCAGGGCAATTACCGGCCTTTGGACCCCACCTGATGTGACAAACCTATTTGACTTTGAAGACTACTGTTGCTAGATTATGGAGTGGGGGAGATGTGGTGATTACAAAGAGTAAAAGAAAAAATATGTAAAGTCCTTGATGGTACCTGGCATATTTAAGAAAAGTTTATTCTTCCTTGTGGAGAATCAATATACTTGTGAATTATTCTCTACAGACACTTACACACAAATGCATCACATCATGATCAAAGAGAATTTGATTATGAAACCCAATTGAGGCTAGGCATGGTGTACATCAATAATCTTAAACCAAGACTATCACAAGTTGAGCCCAGCTTGGGCAACTTAGTGAGACCCTGTCTCAAAAAAGGGCCGGAAATAACTGGGTGTAGTGGTGCATACCTGTAATCCTAGCACTGAGGCTGAGACAGGAGGATCACCTCGAGTTCAAGGCCAGCTTTGACTACAGAGTGAGTTTGGGGTCCACCTGATTTATATAGCAAGACCTTGTCTCAAAAATAAATAAATAAAATGACAGAAAAACCAATGTCATTAAACCTATGCAAATTTTAAAAATAAAAATTGGGGACTGGGGATTTAGCTCAGTGGCATAAGCGCCTCCTTGTAAGCAGGCAGTCGTGAGTTCGATCCCTGGTTCTGATTAAAAAAAAAAAAAGGAAAAAGACCAAAAAAAAAAAAAAAAAAAAAGAAAATAACAAAAGGGGAGGGGATATAACTGAGTCCAAAGTCCCTGACTTCAGTCACCAGTAGCACAAAAAAGTAAAGTCAGCCTAGTTGAATGTACTGCCTGTCAAGAAAAAATGTGTTTTGGGGCTGGGGATTTAGCTCAGTGGCATAAGTGCCTTCCTTGCAAGTGTGCGGTTGTGAGTTCGATCCCTGGTACCGATAAAAACGAAAAAGACAAAAAAAAAAAAAAAAAAGTGTGTTTTACCACTTCTGCTTTCACATGGCACAGTTAACACAAGATTTCTGTGACCTTAAAAGTTCTAAGGATTTTTCCTCACCAAGAAGCAAGCAGTACTGCAACAATAGATAACATCTGGGTGTTCTCTAAAGCAATTGTTCTGACACTGTCTACCTGGAGGTATTCTCAGATCCCAAGCCAAAGGATCTGTCCTCAAGACTACCTTTTCCTTGGACCCTCCTGTATATAGATGCCAGTCATAAACCCTAGGTTATTTTACTCGTGCTTCTGACCTGTTGTTTATAAATCTGTTTCCACAACCCTCTGCTTAGGTTCCCATTAATTTGGCTGAATAGCTCACAGAAACCAGGGATATGACAGGAGTAGGTGCCTGTAATGCCAGACTCAGAGACTGAGGCAGAAGGATTATAAATTTGAGCCTAGCCTTGGCAATTTAGTGACATCATACCTCAAAAATTAAGGTCTGGGAATGTATCTCTGAATGAAGACCCTGAGTTCAATCTCAAGTACCAAAGAGATCACACCAAAACATTTTATCAGTTTATTATAAAGGATATTACATAGGCTGCAGATGAAATGAAGCACTGGGTAAGGTGTGTGGGGTAAGAGCACAGAGCACTCATGTCTTCTTTGTTCTGCTGACCTAGAAAATCCAGACCTTTCTCTCTCTCTCTCTTTTTTTTTTTTTTTTTTTTTTGGTCTTTTTTCCTTTTTATCGGTACCAGGGATCAAACGCACGACTGCCTGCTTGCAAGGCAGGCGCTTATGCCGCTGAGCTAAATCCCCAGCCCGAAAATCCAGACCTTATCATTTCGGGTTTGTGAAGACTTCCTTACTCATCTCAGGCCAACAGACTGGATAGGGAGACTCGGCAAGGCCTGTCTTGCTTCAGATTTTTTTTTTTTTTTTTTTTGAGACTCACTATGCAGTTAGACTGGCCTCTAACACTCAGTAATCCTCTTGTCTCAGCCTCCCAAGTGATGGGATTGTAGGCATGTGCCACCATTTCTTGTTTCCTCAGCATTGTTGGCTTCTCTGCAGCATCCCTTCCTCCAGAGTATGGGATAGGACCTCCATGGAATAAAGAGGGTCTTGGGACCTGTTTTCAGGCAGATGTAGATTAGAGAATTTCTTTGTGGCCAGCTCCAAGGCAGAAAGAGGGTAAGGGATTAGAACTTTTATAACCCTCCGTATGGAAGAGAAATTCAAGTTTCTCTGTGGCCTCAGAGGAGTGATGAGTAGAAACTGAGGACAAAATATTTATGTCATACTATCATAGCTAGGTTCTTGGATATCCGGACTTTTATTCCTCACACTAGCCTTAAAACTGTTTTGTTTTGCCTGTTTCTCCACTTATCCATTCCTGAAAATACTAATGTCAACACTGCCTACTGGCTTCCTACAGAAGGTGGGGTGCCCCATCTTACCTTTTCCTAACCTGAAGCAGCAGAGATAAGAGTAGCTCTTCTTCTCAGGGCTACATCCAGGACACTGGATTTATTCCTCACCCCAGCAGTTCCAGCACTTTCACCCAGTAATGAAAAGGTGCCCCATTCAAATGTACAGCCGAACGATAGGCCATTTGTGATCACTGTCTTTACCCACCCACTCTTTTAAAAGTTCCAAATGTTTACCAAGGAAATGAATTTCTTATGATAGACCTAGCATGTTCCAGAGAAGACAGCTGTTAGTCTCAAAAAGACTACCAAAAAAAAAAAAAAAGAAGCAAAGCCAGAATTAATATCATATCCAATGCCAAGTAGATGAGGCCACTCCTCCCACAGTTGTGGCTTTTGAGCCAACTACAGAGTAGCACCATTCTGTGGGTATCTAGCACAGCATAATGTCAATAGTTACAGCTGTGGTATGATTCTTTTGATTAAAAACTTCAGAGACAGGTCTCCCTCACCATCTGATCACTTACAAGTTTTTCCTGTAACAATTTGGAAACATTACTGAAGTTCTCCATGGAAGCCACTTATTCTCATCAGTGAGTGTGTATATGTGCTGCTTGAATGGTGGAGGGCAGGGCTAGCTGTCATTGCAAGCGAGCTGTTCTCTACCCATGATTTTAGATCTTGCTGGTTGTATAAGCTATGCTGTACATTACCACTACTCATCCCTCTCATCTTTAGGGGCCTGAGATAACCATAATTTTACATTTTCCTGGAATAGTCCTAGTTTGTATCTTGTCATAATTATTGTTATCACCACTTTCAAAAATGAGGATACTTTGGTGATGAATTGTATTGTCACTGTAGCTTTATAGTTTCATAGATTTAGCATTTCCTTATTTGTTGTGGTTTGTTTTTGTGCTGGAGAATGAATCCAAGATCTTCATATTAAGTTATATTCCCAGCTCTTTATTTTTTAATTTTGAGACTTAATTTTGGGTATTAAATTGCCCATGCTAGACTTACTTAGTGATCCTCCTGCCTCAGCCTCCCAGAGTAGTGGGATTACTGTCCCAGGTCAGTGTTTTCTTTTATCACATTTTTGAGGGTATTGTTTGCCTGTCTGATTTAAATAATACCTTTTAATATTATCTATACATAATATTTTTTTCCTCTGATACACATTATTTTAGTGTAAAAAACAAGCATAATTCATATCCTGAGCAAACATGCTCCCTAGAATGTGGGCTAACACTTGAAAAGCTATTAGTGGTCTATGATGAGAAGCTTGCATCAGGATGTATTGGACTGAGTTTCATCAAGGAAGTGATCAGACAGACTGCGCAGTGTGCTGGAAGACATAGTTCTTTTGCATTCTGGCATTCTTACTCTCTTGGAACAATAGCAGCATTTTGAACAGCATTCTCCTTCATTGGGTGATATTCTTGGGCATAACAAATGAACAGATTCACCAAATGACTTAAATAAGGAATTTGGTGATTTTTTTTTTTTTTTTGGTTACAGGCATCTGAAAATTTGAGATTCATCTAAGTACAAAAACTATAAAGAAAAAAAAGATACTTCTCACAGAAGCCAAGAGATTGATTTCCTCTGAGTTATGGGAAGTTGGCAGTTAGTGAGCTCTCACTCTTTATTAGCCTATCTTGGAACAGTAGTACCCGTGTAGCTAGCATGGTTTTGTTTTGCTTTGTTTCTAAGCATCATTTACACATTGGTGTGGCTCCTACCACTACTTAACATGTTGGAGATCTGGGATTGCTGGCAGCTTTTTTATTTTATTGATTTCATGGTATTGGGGATTGAAAGCGGGGCCTTACACATGCTACCCAAGCACTCTGCATTCGCACTGCCATAGCTGCATCTCCAGCCTTCTGTTTTTTGTCTTGATCTGATATTTATGGGTGTTCACTGACACCTGACCCTCCAAGGGGTTCCCATGTTACCCACAACGTTAAATTATAGGTTCACTGGCTTCAACAGTGAAAAATAGGTTTTAGGACTAGTTATTAAGAGACATGGGAAGGGTTTATTAGAAACTTAAAAGTACACACATGAAAAATCAGGGTATGGTGACACATGCATGTAATCTCAGTACTCAGGAGGCTGAGACTGGAGGATTCCTGTTACTTGAGGCCAACATAAACTACATAGTAAAACCTTGTCTCAAAAAACAAAATTAATAAATACACACTCAAGAGTAGTCCCTCAACAAAAAACGTCCCCTTATATTTCGGAGTTGGATAGAGTGTATTTCGGGGGTCTTAGGGTCATCTTCAAAACATCAAGGATGTATATTCCTGCTACCTATCAGGCCACCCTTCCAGCAGATTGTGTTAGAATGCAATCTGTTTGCATGTATTTGAAGTTGAGATTTGTTGCCTAGGAATATTGCTGCTTCCTTGAAGGTGGAGATCTGTGAGAAGCAGCTCAATTTTCTGGGGAAAAGTACAGCCCCAGAGCTCAATTTACAAGCCTAACATATCTTTAGAACCTTTAGGAATTTTTTTTTTTTTTTTTTTTTTTTTTTTTTAGTGAGTTTCCTAGAAGACAAAAGATCAGAGTAATTTTTGTGTTCTGAAACTACAGTTTTTCTTTCAAGTTTTCTTTTCTCTTACCT